AAACAGCTGATCGGCGGTTTCAAAATGGCCGCCGGGTAACTAAAATGGCTCCCCGCTGTGTTTAGGGATGGATTCCTCACTATACAGGCAGAGAAAATGGCCGCTGTATGGAGGATCTTCGCTGGACGGTGAGTTTTAAGCCCATTGGAACACACTGAAAGGTTTTCAATGTGTTTCAATGGGCTTTTAATTTTCTCTTTACGATGTTTTCGCTTAACGGCAATTTTCCTGGAACGGATTATCACCGTTAAGCGAGACACCACTGTAGTTCTTAAGCCAATACTTCATTATTATACAGTTTTGAAACTTTAACTCTCTAGCTAGTAAAGGAAACTCTGCAGAGAAAATATGGAAATTTTCCACTACGGTAAAGGAAGCCAAGATGAAAAGAGTTATTTCAAGGAAAAAGTGAATGCAGTATCTGGAGGCTATCTTCCATTCTAACTCTATAACTGTTTAGATTTCAATGGTAGAGCTGATAATTAACAAATGATTCTGTTTTAGGATTCACCCTGCATGTACCTCATTTGTTGACATAATTTATTAAGATAATGTCAACAAAGAACTTGATTTTGTACACAAGCGACTATGATATCTAGCTAGGCTTTAAAGGAAAACTAGAAAAAGGAATATTGCTTCTTCGGTTTAGCCTGTTATATTTATGAGCTACCTGAATCCGGAACATCTTTTTAGTTTTAGCATGGCTCTACAATTTTCTTTTTTTATAAAAGAATTTCTCTCCTGTCTACTGAATTCCATAGAAGCAATCAGAGTGGCTAATGTTACAATAAAAGGTACAAAAGCAGAGAAGGAAGAACCAAATAAATCAGTTTTTTCTTCCAGAGTGATGTCTGTGTCACCAAAGGAAAAATGTAATTAGTAACCAACAAATAATATTTATTGGGAACAAGGTGAGTTTAATAAGATATCACTTTGCCTTGAATCTACTAGAATAATGTATGCTAACTGGCAAGAACACTTCAAAACCCAGGGCGAAGTTCTTTTGAGGTCTGCCACTTGAGATCATTTAAACTTGAAATTCCAGCGACTTAACCTGGTCATTTCTACATGTTAAACATTAGTTTGAGCCTCTGACACTGAGCTACAGTACTTTGGTAAGACTTTTAGGAAACCACATCTCAAGATAGCATAGGAGAATGAGTATAAAACACTAGGAAAAAGGGAAAGATACATTGCACAAATGTTAACAAATTTCTGGATTGTGTTTTACCCCAAACAGGACTGCACCAAGTCTGGAACCAACATCAACCACAACCTTTCCAGTCAGGTCAGGCAGTACATGTTGATAGAGAAACTTCACCTCCATAAGGGAAAAAGAATGGGAAATGAACTCTAGGAAAAAAGAATAAAATCAAAGGCTTGCTGGAACAATTATTCAGACACTAGTTAAGTAATTCATATTAAGTTTAGTTAAATTACTGCAGAACTACTGGTTTGAAGATTAATTTGTTAAGAAATGTGTTAACCATCACAAATGATCTTGGACTATTTTATATATTACAGAATTCATGGAGTTGAATTAATTATAAACAAAGAATAGTGCACAATTATTTTCATATGTCCATTGACAGAGAGAAAAAGGAGGAATCCCTAGGAAGCCTTAAAACAAAGCCAAATTAAGTTTGCAAAGGTTTTACAGGGTGCACTAACGATTCCAAGCATTTTAAACAGTTTTTGAACATTTTAAGACACTTTAAAAATAGCGAAAATGGACCTGTCAAAACCATTGAAATGCATTGAAACCTATTCAATGCATTCCAATGGGGGAACTGCGTTTCGCTTAGCGATATTTCCTATGGCGATTTTCGCTTAAGGACGGTAATCCCTGTGATGAACTTGCTTATGAAAGTTAAATAGATTTACTTTATAGTGACTAAGTTAGTCTAGAAATCCATTTGATTTCTGTCTGTAAGTTAGAGAGATGTCCAAGGCTCAGTTTGCAAAAGTTCTGTGCAGACCAAGGTAACCTTTATCTCGTCGCTAAGCAACTATCTTAGCCCAGACGGAGCAAGGACATAATTCCTTATTTAAGATTTATGGGACGAGAGAAGAGAAGAAGAGCAGAAGGGAAGAAAGAAGAGACTTTCCAGCACGGAAGGATGATCGTCAGAAGAAAGACTCAGAAACTTTATTTTTGGAATGGACAGTAAGATTAAACCTAATAGAATCTACAGTTTTGTTGAAAATGTAGTTAGTAGTTTGTTATTTTTGTTTTTTGTAGAGGAATTATATCTTTTGGTGATGGCTGGGGTTTGGAAATAATTGATTATGTAAAGATGTCTTGTTTAGTTTGTTTAAACTAATTTATTTCTAAATTCTATTTTTCTAATAAAATAAGAAAATGCTAAATGTCTGGAAGTTGGCTTCTTGGATAGACCATGAGCTACAATAGTTAATTGGCTACTTTAAATTGATGTGTTTAATCAGGTCACGTTCATGCTACCAATTTGGGGTCCTACATATTAAAGAGGATGATTAGATCTCCTAAAACTCCTATAAGTGTTTTGTTCTTTGTTAAATCGGATCAGACTTGGGAGAAAGAATGATTCAGCTGCCCTAGGGTAAAATTAAATGACCCAGTTTTGCCTGATAAGGAGCTGATCATTCCAGACCCTTTCTGTTCCGTAGAAAAGCAGTTTCTTTGGAAGCTTGCCTTTTCTGACAATCCCTTCCCATTGGAACGGATTATCCAGTTTTCAATGCATTCCTATGGGAAATGGTGTTTCGCTTAGCAATGTTTTCCCATAGCAATGTTTTTTTTTAACCAATTAACATCGCTAAGCGAGGCACCACTGTATTTACTTTTGAATGAGAGAACATAATATTGCCTGCCACATTGAGGAACTCAGTAACTGGCAATTACTTGCACAGCTCGCTCTGAAAAACCTAGTCCCATTTTGACTCGGACCCAAAAGAAACTGCATATTCACTTTGCGAACCAACCATTGGACCTGATGCATGGGCAAACATGAGTCAGTTTGTGGTTTGGCTTGAAACAGCAACATATAAATGCTTACCTAATGGCGCTGTCCTATGTGAACCACATGTTAAACAGTAATTTCTGCTCATCTCCCCCCTTTCACACAATGTGTCTATACAGTCATCATCATAAAGGAATGCATCAATGTGAACAGTTGGCGTTGTTTGCTCATGTAGCTGAAGAAAAACAAACAAACAAGGATTTAAGTTTATTTGTTGGCCAGTGCTAGTCTCCATATAATTTATGCCTTAGGGCTTTGTGTTCAATGTGGACCTCTATTTGTATGTGTCTTTCTTCTCTTTTTTTAAAATAGCAGTTACTAGAGGGTACAAATCGGCTTTTGCAGTTAAATGCTTCCCTTTGTTAGTTATGTGTTATCAAGTCAAAACTGATTTATAGCGATTCTAATAGGCATTCCAAAGTAAGTGTGATAGTTAAGGAGTTGTTTTACCAGTTCTAGTCCCCCAGTAAGTTTCCACGGCCAAGTGGGAATTTGGACCCTAGTCTCCAGAGTCCTGGTCTGTCAATCTATCCACTACACCACACTGGGTAACTCTTTTTTTCATAATCACATCTATTTCTCAGTTAATAAAAACTCACTGCAGCTATCTTTATAGTACTATTGAAAATACAATAATATAAATTAAATATGCAAATTGGCCTCTTTGGCCACATGTCTTCCCTTTAAACTCTTCCCCCCCCCCACTTCAGAATGTGGCCCTAGATCTGCTGACCAATACGAAAAATGGTCCTCAGCTCTACCACTTGCTATACAGAAAGACAAATACGTATCATACAAATGTTGCTGCCCATTTTTTGGTATTATGGGACTGCTTGCAAAGGTAGCCCCTGTGTTTAACAAACATGGAAAGAATGTGATAAACAAATAAGCAGTTTCATGGAAGGTATATTTTTGTAGCAAAGAAGTGTAATTTACTCTGTTAAATATCTACTGTGACAACACAACTGTTATACATTAAAATGCCAGAACTATACATTGGTAAAATCATTTCCATGCTTATTTTTCCAGGATAAATCAAATCCAGACACAATGCCAAAATAATCCACCATCTATCTCTGCTGCCTTCTGCGTTATAGTAAATCACTGTTTGAGAATTAAAGTAGATATAGGTATGTTGAGGAATTACTGTAAAAGTACTTTACCTATGAAATGGACTGTAGCTGTGCTTGAGAAATGCATAAACAGTAGGGCATCGTTTTGAAAATAAAATTCATTCCAGAGAGATTTTGTGTGTCTCTCTCACTGGCATCTCACGCCATGTGATATGGCTGACTGGCCACTTTCCGAAGTTGCCTTGTTTGCCCTTCTGAATGACTGCCGCATACTGTATCGGTATACTAGTGACAAATTTCTTCCCTTGCTTAATTTAAATTCGCCTCCACTTAGCTCAGCTGTGAAAGGATCAAGTACAAAATTCTGAGATATAATTCTTTGCTGGCCTTCCACTTCAGCTCCTATACAGTACTTGGTATTTTGCCAGAGCTCAAGCACCGAGCTAAAATAAATAAAAGTAACTTTCAAAATCTAGGTCTGAGTCTAAGGGCCAGGATCAGAAGACTGTGCAGGCAGGTCTTCTTGCTGCTCATACCACCACTCAGGCATGTCTCTAAAGGTTATATGTTTGTCAGGGAACATCATGTTGTTCGGATATGGCAAGAACCAACATTCTAGCCGTTGTGGGTTAATGTGCTTAAAGACCTCACCTGTCCCTTTTATTCAGTGAGGCTCTATAAGTCTTTGCCTCTCACTCTCTCTCAAACTCGCACTTCACTGATGCTGACTGACTGAGACCGTGTGTGCTTGCTTGTGGGTGTTTCCCAAGCCACCACAGCCCTACTTGTTTTTACTGTTTTGTTATGTAGCTTTAGTAGTTTTATTGTTTTCTTAGGATGTCCTGTTAACTTTTCCTAAGAGAATTAGAAAAAGATTATTAAACTTTTGTTTCAGTGTCTCAAATTTTCCCATCACATATGAATTGTACTGGCCCATCAGCAGAGTGGTAAAGCTTATACCCTGCCTTTCCCCCTATTATCTGACTTACACTTCTGCCCAATATTTCTTAGATCTGTAGTTCATAATCTGTTCAAGACAGTCAAGTTCTGACAATTCAGGAGGATTTTTTTAAAAAATGAGTTAATCTGAGCACACAGAGGGTGTGAGTGCTAGACCTAGCCTCCCTCCATCGTTGCTGTTCACAAATGGAAAGCAACAATCTGAAGAGGACTGCCTTAGCTGTTTGTAAGCCTCTCCATGTTTTGGGGCACCTTGAAAAGTCAGGGCTTCTGTACATGTGAAGAGGCATCAAATGTAGAGGAGGTTCTCCACACACAGAGAGCAGCAATGGATGGTGGTGGGGATAGCCCTCATTGCCTCCTCATGCATTCAGAATGCCTGACCACAGCTAGTGATGCACTTAGGTTATCCTACAAACCAGTATCAGAACAAAATCTTAGACAGTGAAATCACACAAACTTGTAACTTTTGTAACTTTTCCTAGTGCACAAGGATGTGCGAACATTAAACTTACTTTTTGAAGAGCAAGATGCTCTGAGTTGAGCATTGCCCCAGCAGGCAAGGAATGTCGAAGATCTTCAGCAATACTTCTGATGATAACATCCTTATTATTGAAAGTGAATTCATCAAAGTCACCTATACATACACATTAAAAGAACACATGGGGCTATTAGATCACAATTATATTTAATACACCCATGGTTTCTACAGATGTTCACACATATTTTGTTTGATATAAATATATAAAAATTGTTGGAACAGTTTTTGAGAAAATCATAGAAAAATACAGGGAAATCATAGATCAATGGAAACATTTATGAGACATCTTCAATGGTATAAAATATTGAGATTACATTTCCAAAAGCAAGAATTTGACCTGCAAGTGATTATTATGAGTTTTGCTATCTGTAGACCTGTTTTATGGTACAAAAAGCTCTCCTCACTGCAGACCATCTTCTGTGTTATTTCCAGTTTTCCCCCTTAAAATCACCCCTTTAGCAAATTCACGTGCTGAGTACCAGCAATACTAGAATCAGAATGGAGCCAAAAAGAATGCAGATCGAAATATGAGCATATATGCAAGAAACCACAAGCCCAGTGAATAAATTTGCTCAGTAGCCATAAGATTCAGAGTGTCAGATGGAACAGAAAATGGGTTGAAGGGTTTCTAACCCCTCATAGCATATGGTATGCTGAAGGGAGGTACAACTGGCTGCCTGCCTGGAATGAGAATTAGTGCAAGTCTGTTAAGAGTTATGATATATTGCAAATACTGGCTGAAACCCAGTAGTATATAACCAAAGTAGGCCAACTGAATTAGTGGTGATCTGGTGAATCAACTCCTCTCTATGTTCCATTGATTCAACAGGCTTACTCTACTTGCGACTTACTACTGAATTACTGTATTGCAGGTCCCACTCATCCTTTATAATGCTGACTTTCCTTCCACCAATTACAGAATGTTTGTACATATGACACATTGTGACACAGTCCCAAAATGCATCCCACCTATTTTAGATCTATTTTTGATAGTTCAATGTGTTCCCACAGCAGTTCCAAGCACTATTTTTAAAAAGGATATTTTGATGTGAAGGAAGGAAGGAAGGGTCAATGTATTCCATTACAAAATCTGTCCTACAGGCTTATCCAGTTTACCAGTTACACAAATGGTTTAAGTGTAAAAAATATAATTTAAAACCTTGTGGCTGCCCAGCACGCAAGCACTGGACAAGATGCAACAACTGGGAGTCTTCTCTAGGTTGAAACAGAGTTGATCTCTGTAAATCTAATTTTGTCACTGTGGCAACAGGAAGTACTATATTTATCTCCTACCTATCTTTAGCTACATGACCATTGATATAACATTGATATAATAGTTGAGACATTTCATAATGACCATCCCCTGCTCACAGAAATCTCAAAACTTTCACATACTGAAGCTTGAACATGCATGTCGCTTGCCTTGATATATTAGCAAGGCAAATCCTTAGTTCCAGAGACCATCATGACATATATAACAATGATGAACGAGGGGAAAGGATTGTGACTCCTTCGGACTGATTTATTTCTTTGTGAACTTTTATGGATCTAATTCAAGTGAACTGTAATCCATAGAAGTTCACATTGAAATCAACCTGCTAAATGTTAAAGATGCAATATGACCCTTTTCTTCCTTTCATTTTTGTTACATGCATGGAAACCTCTGTGAAAACAGCATAATGGTGCAATCCTTGGCCAGCCATGTTAATATATATTATGTGGCATAGGCCAAAGCTTATGTTCGAAGGTAATGTCATATAAACATCAGTTCTTTATCAGATGAATTCTCATTTCAAAGTTTGGTGTGAATGAACAACCAAAATTGGTAAACAACTTCACCCTCAGTTTCCTGACTTCACAGAGCCAATCTATAGCAATAACTGAAGTTCCATACTGATGTCAGAAAATTCTTGGCTTAAAGGTGGTGGATAAGGTTTTAAATTTGTTAATATGGTAAGTGAGGGTATGGGTTCTGAGAAACAGGAAGGGAATGACAGAATTGTACATGTTGGGGAGGGGAGTTCAGGGAGCAGAGATGGAGAATTGCAAAAAAGGACAGAGAAGGATTCACTGTGAGAAGGTTTTGTAGTGACTGGGACTCAAGTGACAGAAACTGCCTCAGCTGTCTCTTGCTTGGATGTGGAGAACCATGAGAAGCTCCAACAGTATCAAAGATGCATTCGTAGAAGGGGAAGAAATTGGGAGTATTAAAGTGGTGTAACACACTTGGTCCCAGAGATGGAAAAGTTACCTTGTAACAACAACTCCTAGAAAGCCTTAGTGCCTCATGGTGAAAGTTGTAGTTCAAAAAGCAACATTTCTACTTCTCCATTGGTAGTCAACTTTGCCACTTGAAATACTCTAATGAAGGGACAGTAGAGAGAGAGAGAGAGAATAAAAAGTCCTTTCTCACCCCTTCTACTGTACCTCACTCTTGTCCATAATTATCTCCCTATACCCATTGCCTTTTTACCTCCTTCCAAAACCCTCTCTCCAGCACTTTCCAAGGTGAGGGTAGGAGGTGCCTTTCACCTGACAGTCCTTCAAATACCTGAAAACAGCTAGCTCATTATCTCTTATCCTTCCCTTTTCCAGGCTGAACATAGTTAACTCCCTCAAGCATTCTTCACTGGGCTGAATTCCTGACTCTGTCCTATTTTGTTGTCCCTTGCTGGGTACACATCAGTGCAAACTCCACTGGGCTGAATTCCTGACTCTGTCCTATATTGTTGTCCCTTATCAGTGCAAACTCCTTATACAGCTAAAAAGTTGCCATAAAGAAGAGGAAAATATTCAGACTTCACAAAAACTCAAGGTTTCTAGAAACAAACACATAGATGAGGTGGGGAGGATTCTGAACACAGCTTAGTGGGGACTAAGCATTTCCACAGGGATAAGAATGCTAAACACAGAGTGTGTGTAATGAGGATAGAAAGGAGTTTCTTGGAAAGCCAGGGATAAGAATGCTAAACACAGAGTGTGCGTAATGAGGATAGAAAGGAGTTTCTTGGGAAGCTGTCTAGCTAGCAACTGAATAGCTAGCTCGTTAGAGACTGAAGAGGAATGATACACTACAACATTTGGTTTCAGATCCCAGTTGTACAAAAATGAAAAGGAGCAGCCAACACTTTGCATACCTTAGGTGGGAATGCTATGAGAACTCAGAACAAGCAGCAACTTGACAGCCTGACAAAATCTGAGAGGAAATATTGCTTACTGGTTGTTTTCATCCAATGAAGGAGACGGGGCACATCCCCTGCACGCACACCCTTTGCCACGTTCAGAATAGCAAGGCGAGCTGTTGAAAAATCCATGCTTGAATGGCTTGAGCAGTTCTCGAGCTAAATTGCAAAGAAAGGCCAGAAGGTCCTATTATTGTCACATCTTATGATGTCCAATAGAAAGCTGGTTACTTTGCAGCAGGTCCACTAAATGGCAGGCATACAAAAAAGACCAGAGGCCATATAGAATGTGATTCCACAAATGCTGATGCCTTAAGACAGTGGTGTCGAACTGTGGCCCTCCATATGTTCTTGGACTTCAACTCCCAGAAGCCTTCACCACCACCTCTGCTGGCCAGGATTTCTGGGAGTTGAAGGCCAAGAACATCTGGAGGGCCACAATTCGACACCACTGCCTTAAGAGGATCCCCTGCATGACCAGCCACAATTCTATTGCTAGTTAGAAAACAAAGAAAAAACAACCTTTCATTTTTATACCATAATCAATCCCATACAATGGTCAAAATCCTGTTGCTTAGCATACTAAATTGCACTTGGAGGCCCACTAAATCAGTGGGGATTTAGTGAGTCAGTTCTTCCATAACTTCCATTGATTCAAATAGGGCTACTCTAACTGTGACCTATTTTAGCACAGCAAATCACAGTAAGAATTAAACTGTAAATTACCCAGAGAGAGCTTTGAGTACTGTACTATGGGGTGGTGTATAAGCAAAATGCTTTATTATGGTCCTCTATCCACCAAGACACTACGATCTGATTTCCTTGGGCCAGCCTTCCTTTAGGAATACCTTGCATCCAACACCTTGCACCAAGGAAGCATTCAACAGATTAATTGTAAATTCAGTGGTGAATTTCTCAACATCATCTACCTTACTGAGAAAGCTAAAAATACCCAGATGTTATCACTGGAACAAAATTCAATTAACCATTATAAAATTCCAAGAGAAAGGTAAATTTACACCATCTACACTCATATAAGAAATAGGCATAGGGAAGTGCTCACTTTCCATCCAAAACCTTCACTGCAAAAAAAGATGCAATTTCTTGATACAATTTCTAAATCTAAACAACATAATTAACAAGCACAAGGATAAAAACTAAAACAGGAGTTCCCTCATTCAGAAAAAATAAATCAGTATCATTGCAGAAGCCTTGTAAAATATTCCATTGCTATCAATATTCTAACTGTCCCAAACAAGGTTTGACTGTATAAATACCACATTCACTCTAAGGTCCCTGTATTCCAAGTAAAAGATAACCTAAACTTCCACATCAAGGGAGAGGCAGGTATTATGGCAGGTTAACCATTCTCAAAACAACAGAACAATTAATAAATGGGATAGTGACTGCAAGATATTCAGCTCCGAATTTGTGGACCTCTAATTCTATATAACTCAAACTCTCACTATACAGCTACAGTATTAATTCTACATTTATGAAACAGAACACAACTAGACATTGGAAGAGTTGTTTAACCAGGTTTGCTGAATCCAAATCAAATCAGGTAATACCTTATAAAGGCAACAGAAAATGCATCACATCCTGGCTATGTGTCACTAAACTAAGAGCATTCCAGCTTAAAATTACACAGCCTGAGCTATCAGACCTCAGGGTGTCCTAATAATTTATAGATACAATTTTATGATTAAACCTTTCATTCATAAATATTTTTAGCAATTTTCAGAATAAACGGAATTCTTTTCCTTCTTTATTTTGTACAGTATATGGGGTGTACAATTAAACTCCTCAAGCCAACATAATTCTTCTTCACAAATAATAAGTCAGCATTCTCTACCCACTTCCCGAACAAAAGTGTTGAACCAGTCTCAGAAGTAGAGTAGAGAACTACCTTACCATTTTTATTCTGTTCTGCGCAATGCCCACTGCTGCCACATGACAGATTCTCAACTTTACTCTTTTATGCTGAATAGCCCAGTCTCTCTGGGCTGCTGAAGGGCAACTAAACAGAGGACTAACATTCCCACCCCCAATTACAATATGGGGTAGTTGTGTTTTCCCATAAAGCTCTCAAAACATCAGCCTCCGAAACATCCTGTGGGATTCTTGCAATAACTCAGTATTTCTCTGCCAAGAACTGAGGCAGCACACAACCTACTTTCATCTTCTCTGGGGTTTTAAGCTTCAATGCACTGTTAGGCTGGTCTCATTTCTTACACACCACCCAAAAATTATCTTCTTGCAAACACTGTGCCTATACTACATCTAAAGTAACACTGTTCCATTGGGGGGGGGAGACAAAAATTACTGCGAAGGAGGACATGGAAAACCGAAAAGGATGACTTTCTCCACAAAAAGAAATATTTTTCCCCTGAATATGCATGCTTATTTAAACTATTATATAGTAATATCACCACAATTAAATATTATTACTTTAATTGGAAAAGCACTATCACTCATCATGCACTAAACTGTGACTAGGTTACTTAATCGCCTTGGGTCAGAGCACTGAAATGACAGGATATAAATCAAACAAATAACTGAGGCATAGTGTTTAATGACTCTTGGAAATGCCCTGTGCCTTGTGTTTTTTGTAGCTTAATGAAAATGAATATATAAAGGAAGAAAATAGTTTTATTGAAATATCCAGCAAGGCAACAATGAGTTATTTCAGAAGAAAGGTCTGAACAGTGGGGTCAAAATGTCAATTCCTGGAACTGAGCTCACATCAGAAGTTCATATAAAACCAGCATGCCATGCCATATTCTTCCTGCCATTTATAATTACATCAGCGTATGTAGTTTGCATCTTTTCTTACAAAATTGTAAATTTATCTAATCACCTCCCGACAATTTCACTTTTAAAATGAGAAAGGGCTGATTAGATACATTTACCAACCAAGACCTCTGCTTTCCACCCTTGGCCAGGGAAACTCATGATGGGAAATACTGTAAGTTAGAATGGCCCCTTATGTGTCCCTTCCAAAAGAGAGGACAGGCATCACCAAAACAGGAGGACAGCTCTTCAAACGGAGGACCGTCTTCCCTAAAGAATGCGGCCACACTAAACCCATCCCTCACAACTATCTTCAACCACTCTGCCAACTTCACAGCATTCATATCCCCCACCTTCACATCTTGGGCGAGCTGATTTTGACACAAAATTCCCTTGCTTTCTCCCTTCCAACAATAAATAGCTTAGCCAACCACTAAGAGCTGTCCTTAATTTCTTCATCTTTGTCTGAGAGAGTTCCCCGTCCCTTCTTCCTCCTGGGACTCATCTTCTCCGTAACCCTTCCTTTGATTTCTCCTAATTTCCTTCCAACATCCTTCAAGGGTTCTTGGGGTGTGTGTGTGTCGGGGAACACACCCCACCTCAAGAGCTCAGCTTTCGCTAAAGGGCTGACAGGGACAGAAGCTTCCAGTCAGTCAGAGAGCGCCCAAACGACTTCCTCCCGAGGCCCCACATTGTTTCCCCTCCCCTGCACCAACTCCCCCCTCGTCTCCCCAAGCGAACGGCTTGAACACCTCATACACACGTGCCTTTCCTATGCCAACTTAGTGGCGCAACGGGCACATGGTGCTCAAAACGTCAAGCCCGCCGCTCACCCGTTATCCCCGTTTACAAGCCCGCCTTTGGAAACACGTCCAAAGCCACCCCTCTTATCCACAAACACACAGACACACACACAGGCACCCCAGAGTCTCTCTCCTCGGTTGGCCACATCACCTGGACCGACACATGGACGGGCAGAAGAACAACACGCCGCCTTTTGGGAGGCGCAATGATGACAGCAGAGCGCCCTGTATGGAGAAACAGACCACATTTCAAAGGGCTCCACAAACGATTCACCAGTTACACGTCCGGCTCCCCTGTGCAATCCGTAAAACCTTCATATGCGGGGCAAGCGTAGAAGAAGTTGCTTAAGCTAACACAGATCAACATTCAAATAAAGCAGGCAGGGTGACAGAGTCTCTTGCACGGAAAAAAAAACTACCCAAGAAATCAGTAAAAAAATTAATTCTTCCTTCCAAGTAAGACGTATGCTTCTCTTCCCCTCACGGATCTCCTCGCTTAACGTAGCCTCCTTTCGTACAGTGCATTGAGGCCAGAGCATCTACTTTTCAGAAGGGCGAGAAAGAAAAAGAAATTGAGCTTCTACAGTATACCTATAAAGGCTATGGTTTTAGAGGACACCCCCATTGCGTTGGGGGGGGGCATTGTGCAGAAAGCCAATACAGTACCAACTTTCAATAAGTACATGCCAGGTAGACATTTTCCGTCAGTTTCCCACCCCCTATTATGGAGATACAGGGATTTAGATGTGCCTTTTATAAGAGCGGGGAGCGCCCCTCCATTTTCGTTGGAAATGCTGAACGGCAAGTCCCAGCGAAACTCTGTTCTGCTACAGTAAACAGCCTGTGCTGTCAAGTCGGAACCGACTTCTACCGACCTTAATAGGGCTTTCAAGGTAAATGAGACAGTTAAGGGGCGGTTTCACTCCCCTACTGAGTTTCCATGGCCAGGAATCCTGTTCTCCAGAGTCCCAGTGAGTCACTCCATCCACTACACACCACAATGTGAATCAAACACCTACTTTACAGTGTACAGTATGTCTCTGCCTGGATACTATAGCACGATCTTAAATGCCGGCCGGGCGGCAGCGCTAGACCCCGCCTTCCTTTCCTCGCACACTCCATCTCGACCTTCTGTCTCGCCCCTAAAGCCGCTATTAACCACCAATCGGAAACCTTTGGCTAAGCCAGATTTTTTTTTTTTTTTTGGTCAATTACAGCTCCCACAATTCCTTATAATGAATCCTACTGACCGGCGTTTATGGGAGTTGATGTCTAGAACTCTACCAAGCCGAAGGATTCTCCCCCCACCCCACACTCGCCGTTTTAAAACATCAAAGCTTCCTCTGTCTAGTAGTACAACGTCTTTCCAGCCTGACCTCCACTTCTACCCCCGCGCGCTTGCCCGATGCAAGGGCACTTTCTGCGAGCATCTGTTGCTCCTGACCCCAAGCAGAGGATTTCCTAGACATGCCCCGGAAGCGGAAGTAGGGCGATCAGGTGTTTTTTTTTTTAAAGGCGAGACGAGAAGTGGAACTCCGTAAGCGCCTTGTAGTGGTGACGTGACATTCTTCCTGGTTGCTTGGATGCTGTTGGGGGAAAGACCGGGGAGCCGCGACTGGGGTCGGGCCGGAGCCTTCGGCGTCCTCCGGAGAGTCCCCCTCGCCTAGCCCGCTTGTTGTGGGGCCCTCGCCGCGGGGCCAGGCCCAGCCAGGCCGCCGCTTCAGGGCCAGAAAGCTTCCGTGTTTGGTGAGTTCCGTGGCACAGTGGCTGCTGTCACTCAGTAAACTAGGATCCGGATTTATTTGGGGGGGGGGAAGTACCGCGTACTGTTTCGGGTTACGCCTAACTAGCTCCTTCTCCCCCCCCCCCCCCAGCTTTCCATACTTTGTGGTTGTAGGCAGCTGGTTTCAGGGCGGCTCCTGTGCTTTTTAGTAAAAGAAACCCAGGCAGGCATGGTTGTTGTGGGGAAGCCGTCAGTCCCCTGAGAAGAATTGGCGAGACGAGTCATCCCTCGGTCTGGTCATCCCTTCATTGCATATGGTTGAAGCCACACAACCTTTCTGTTCTCCCTTCATGCCGTGCTGGGCTGAGCCAGTGCCACTCAAAAGTAACTCTGGGTCTTTGCTTAAATTAAGTCCTGGATAGTTCAAAAGGAGTTCGTATAAACTAAAATGAGAGTGAAAACCTGTATGCAGGCATCTTTCACAGTTAAACATGTCTGCGTTTGCCTACTTCTTTTGAGAAGTTACTAGGGGCAAAGGTTTTGCTGCCCAGATATTATTGATATGCACCCCCTTACACAAAATTTATGAGTTGTTTGGAGACGTATGTAGTGGTCTTACATAGTTGGACTGCGCTCTTGGAAGTGAGGGTAGTTGTTGGCTGATAAGGTCTTTGATTCAGACAAAACAATCTGAACTGGAGTTGTCTTATCTGCTAAGTCTACACATAGTTCAAATAAACAGTATGCATGAACTGACTAAAATATTTCTGGTGTTTCTACCTATTCTTAAGCTACAAAGGCAAATCAATCAATCAATACACCACCAATCTGTTTAAAAATGCCAGAAAATAAAACTGATGGGATGACAGTGTAATAACTGTAAGCAGGTTTAGTTTTAAGCCTCTCTCCATTTGACAGAACTTGCTCTTTGGTAAGTTTTGGGACTGTAGGTTCATTCTCCCCCTCTCATACTTCTGTTCCTTTTTGTGCTAAATCTTAACTGCTGAATGAGCAATTCTTTCTTTTTTTAGTGCCCACATATTAGCAAATATTAACAGGGAAAATTATTGTGCTCTGAGGAGATTGTTGTGTGCTGTTCACCATAGCAAGTACAGCAAACAGGTGCTGAAGCTAGAAGTGGAGGTGAAGTAGGAATATATGCCTTTTTAGTTTCCATTTGTTAATTGATACTTTACTCATTATTTAAGCAAGTTTCTGTTTCTAGTTATAAGAGATCCTAATTTAAAACTGTTGATTGGAACTATGATTCCAAAAGTTGACTTGAAGAGCTGTTAATTTAAATTTTTTAATTGCATTAAAGAAGTAGGGTTGCTCTTTTTGCTCTCCTAACTTGATATCCCACTAACTAAATATAAAATTATGCATAAATGTTTGCTTAGCATGTGGAAATACTTACCATCTGTTTGAATGTTTATTATATAAGTATTTGATGTGCTTCTGGATACCCATTGCTGGAGAATTCAGTGGAAGAGTGCTATTGCACACACATATGTTGAAGAAAGTTGTTTGGGCATTGTGCATACAAAACAATACCTTGAGCAAACAATCAACCAATTTTTAAAAAACTTCTACTAGACACAGAAGAGACCCAATTGATTTACCTCTATGAATTAAAAGCTAAGCTTCACTAACTACCAAAACAGGGTTATAAATGCATAACTGTCTTGCAAATACTCTCTCTGTTAGTTATTTCCCTACTGATTATGGAATGTTGACAACCTGGAAAATCTTTGGGCTAGAGGTGATTCTCGAAATTGGCAAAGCTCTCTTTTCCATTATTAAACAACCTTTAAATAATGCACAATTAGCAATTGAATAGAATTGCTCTGATTATTTAGATTTGGTATGTTAACTTTTGGTTGTGAAAAATGGAAATGTAGTAGTAGGAACAACTTATTTCTTAATCTCATGTTGATTAGCTTCATGCTTTTGTAACAAAGATTTTAAAATACTACATGTGGTAATTTCAAAAAAGGATTAAGTTTGTACTATTGTTAGATTAGCTCACATATAGGGGATAGTGTGAGGTTTGTTAAATAAGAAATTAATAATCTTAATAATGTTTCTTTGCAGATCCCATTTGAGCAGTTTCTGAAGTTGCCAAAATGGTTCTAGCAGATCTTGGGAGAAAAATAACATCAGCGTTGCGCTCATTGAGCAATGCTACAATTATCAATGAAGAGGTATGTAAGCATTCTTGTCTCATCATTATCTCATATAATTTGGCTTTGGAAAAAAGAGTGGTTCACATTAAAGTTGTAACTAGGATACTTAAGATGTGAGAGCTGTTTAAAACATACTATATGGCAACTATAATAGGACAGGGAGTATTATCTCACGAGCTAGTTCTATTTTCTGACTAGCTCAGACTTCATTTCTAGTGTTGGCCTTGTTTAAGCGTTTTTTCGTATGCTGTGTTGACACTATTTTTATTTATTTGTTTATTTGATTTATATCCCACCCATCTGGTCTATACAACCACACTAGGCGGCTATTTATTTATACCTCAGATCACATGAGATATATTCCCAGATAAGTAATTTTTATTTTTAAAATCTTTTTCTTTCTTACAAGGTTTTAAATGCTATGCTAAAAGAAGTATGTACGGCATTACTAGAAGCTGATGTCAACATTAAGTTAGTGAAGCAACTCAGAGAAAATGTCAAGTAAGTGAACAAAGAAACATAGTATTCATTAAATTTATTTCTTGAGATTGCTCAAGTGTGTATGTATATTCATGCTTCTTAATCCTCCCTGACAAAGGTACATGTGATTCTTTGTACTTTTTCATTTAATGGTCAGCAGTTTAACTGTGTATCTTTATACACACGGTTGATGCCAGCCATGAAGTACTCTTCCTTTAAAAAAAAGACAAATTCCCCTCTGTTTTCAGATTAGATGATACAGCATTCTGTAAATATTAATGATAGGAGGAGACAATCCAAACAGAAAGTTGTAAATTTTGAAATGGCTGTTGAATTGGGACTATATTGGGCAGAATGATAGGAGACACTGTCGATGTTAAATACTTAGGAACTAGTTGGAAAAACAGTTGTGACAACTGCTTTGTGTTTGGGTGAGAAGTGTTTGACAGTTGAAGAAAGGAATCGCATACTGGCATTTGCTTGGTGTTTCACTGTGAATGATGGTGAGCACAAGACAGGATAATATGGACCACTCTGATTGCAGATATTGGTGTTGTCATCATTCAGGCTGGCCCTTGTTATGTAAGGCTTGGCATCCTTTTTCCTTCTGCTAGTGTGGGCATGGTATTGCAAGACAATATTGCACTCTTTCCTGACACTTTGAATTGTGAACACAGAATCAGTATCCCACAGTCAAGGAATACCTTACCACCTTGAATGAGTTCAGATCTCCAGGGCCAGATGAACTGCATCCAAGAGTACTGAAGGAATTGGCTGAAGAACTCTCAGAACCACTTTCCATTATTTTCTTGAAATCATGGGAAATGGGTGAAGTGCCAGAGGACTGGAGGAGGGCCAGTATTGTCCCTATCTTCAAAAGGGGCAAAAAAGAGGAACCTGGAAACTACAGGCCAGTCAGCCTGACCCTCAATCCCAGGCAAAATTCTGGAACAGATTATAAAGTGGTCATTGTGTAAGCACATAGAAAACAATTCAGTAATAACTAGAAGCCAACACAGATTTGTCAAGAACAAATCCTGCCAAACTAATTTGATCTCGTTTTTTTTTGATCAGGTAACCTCCCTGATAGACAGAAGGAATGCTATAGACATAGTATATCTTGACTTCAGCAGAGCTTTTGATGAAGTACCCCATGATATCCTGATTAGCAAGCTAACTAGGTGTGTGCTGGATGGATGTAGTGTCAGGCGGATACACAATTGGCTACAGAATCATACTCGGAGGGTGATGATTAATGGGTCCTTCTCTAACTGGGAGGAGGTAACTAGTGGGGTACCCCTAGGCTCAGTCTTGGGCCTGGTGCTCCTTACTATTTTTATTAATGACTTGGGTGAGGAAGTGCAGGGAATGCTTGTCAAACTGGAAAGTGATATAAAATTGGGTGGAATGTCTAATACCCTAGAAGACAGGAACAAATTTCAAAATGACCTTGATAGGGTGGAGCACTGGGCTGAAAGCAATGGAATGAAATTCAACAGGCATAAATGCAAAGTACTGCACCTTAGAAAAAGAAACAATTGCACAGTTGCAAGATGGGCTCAGCAAAACAACGACTGAGAAGGATCTTAGAATTGTCATAGATCACAAGCTGAATATGAGTCAATACTGTGATGTGGCTACAAAAAAAGGCAAATGCTATTTTATCCTGCATGGAACAAGTTCAGAGAAGGGCAATAAGGATGATCAGGGGGCTGGTCTGCTGACCAGGGGGGACCATGTTTTAAAGGATTGAATTAACATTCTTACTTTGCTTATTCACTCCTCCTAAATACATGTCAACTGACTTCAATGGGCTGTTGAAATGTTCTTGTGTTGGTTTTGATCGTTTACTTATTTTCTTTTTTAATTGAAGATCTGCTATTGATCTTGAAGAAATGGCTTCTGGCCTCAACAAAAGAAAAATGATTCAGCATGCTGTATTTAAGGAACTTGTTAAGGTAAAATGTTTGAAAGTACAAACACCAAGTTTTCTAAACTACGTTCCTTTCAGTACAGTCAAGAAGTCTAGTCTTCCTTATTTCTCTTATCACATATCCTTTGTTGTGCCTCCTGCCTGTATTTCCATATGACTATTGAGTGACTATCACAAAGATGGTGTTTTCTAGTTGTGGATACATGTGATCTTGTTATGTGTCCTCAATTCTGACCAATGGTGACCCTGTGAATTAGTGACCTCCAAAAGGCCTGCTCAGCTATTGCAAACTCAAGGCTGTGGCTTTTGCTATTGCATCAAGTGTGGTTCATGTTTTGTCGTCTTCTCTTCCTAATGTCTTCTACTTGTCTCTGCATTGTATTTTCCGGTGCTCTCACTGGAATCTGGAATTTAGATGTGACTGCAAAAATGTGATGAATTACAGTAGCCTGACATAACAAATGGTGATGATAATGAGGGTGCAGTGAAGCAAATAATCTGAGCCAATTTTTTCTCTTTGGCTGTTAAAGAAGGATCTACGGCTACTACATTTGCTTTCACCAAGAAAGTTTGAAGATGGCATACTGCCAAGGACTCGGGTTAAACATACAGGAGTAGAAATGTGAGGGCTACCTACTGTCTTGAACACAGCATTCTAAAACCTGCTAGAGTGGCCTTATGCCATGACACAGGTCTTCACCTGCACTAGATATAATAAGGGGAATTCAGAGGTCAGATATGTCAGGGCAGGGAACTGTGCTCTGTTTGCTTCCTATGGAGTATCTTTGTAGCACAAGATAACATGGAGTTGTCTTAAATACTTATTTAGAGAACTGAGAGAGAATTAATTGCAATAGCAATACTTGGAAAATATATTTAGAATCAGCAAATGAAATTCTATATTATTTATTGTTTATTTCTTACATTTATATATGGTTCCATTATTATGATGTACTATTCTAGGCAGTTTGCAGTGATAAAAACACAACAATCAAAATAAAAATACACAGAAAATTATATAATTTTAAAGGCTGTGTGCAGATTTCTGAGACTGTGAAGTCATGCTTTCTAACACACACATACTTTGGCTTTACAGCTTGTAGATCCTGGAGTCAAAGCATGGACCCCAACAAAAGGAAAACAGAACATCATTATGTTTGTTGGACTGCAGGGAAGTGGCAAAACAACTTCATGTTCCAAGGTAACTTACAATCTTCATAATGTTTAATGTGGCTCTGTCTTGTTTTGCAGGGCAAGGGTGTTTCAAGTGGCAGGTGGGGAACAGGGTGAGATACTATTATGGAGGAAGCTCTGGCATATCATCAGAGGTTTCTGTTGGGTAACAAATTCTTCTCTAGTGCTATGTTCTTTATACCAATGTTTTATGAGACATAGCACAGGCAGTTAATACTATTATGCAAATTTAAATAATATCTATCAGTCATCATGGAAAACTATGAATATAACCATCATTTGAGTCTGTGGTCAGACTACAGATGTAGAGGAAGAAGCCAATAAAAGCTTTTATGCAAGTGTCCCAAAAGAAATTGATCACAGATGAAAACAGATCATGTTAATACTCATGGGTGACTACAATATAAATGTAGGAAATATGGAAGAAAATCCAATATACCATAAATTAGAAATATTCAGTTTACATTCCAATGCTAATGAAAGTTGATACCAAGATTTTTAGTAACTATAGAATCATCCCATTAATTTCTTATGTGAAGAACATGATAGTCAAGATTTACAGCGACGTGTACCAATATGGATGAAGAAATGCCAGCTGTTCAAGCTGGGTTTTAAAACGGAAGCAGTACTAGAGATATTTTGCAAATATACATCAGCTGCTGGAACATATCAAAAAATTTCAGGAGGAAATAAGCTACTGGACAAGAGACTAATGTTAAGTAAGAGTACAGTCAGCCAAAATGATTTTTAGTTAACGAATGTGACAGGATATGTCTTATTTTTCTGTTTGGACTAGATGCAGAACATATAGAAAACTGAATTAAATTGAGATGGAGGCAAAAATGTGGAAAAACATCACTAATTTAAGATGTACAGAAGATAACATGTTGCTGTTTTCTGTCAGTAATAACTGAAAATAACTACAGATGATATGTGAAGAAGGTGCAAAAGGAGGATTGTTGAATGTTAAGACAAAAGTAGCTATAGGATTACTGGAGTATTTTAATATTGACTGTAGAGAAATTGAAATACAGTAGTTTCTTTTACTATCTTGGTTGAATCATCATTAGTTAGTACAGAGGCTTTAGCCAAGAAATCAAAGGAAGACTGAAACTGAGAAGGGCAGCAATGAAGGACTCAGTAGAAGAGACAGTAATGCTGGGGAAAGGTGACAGCAGTGGGGTGTGGGCAGGAAACCTAATATGAGCTAGAGATTGGGAGTTTGATTCTCCACTGTGTCACCTGGAAGGAGAGTACACACACACACGCATACGTACGTACGTGTGTGTATGTGGGGGGGGGATGCTGACTCTCCTTCCAGTGACACAGTGTATATCCAGAAGAAGGGAATGGTAAACCTAGTCTGTTTGTTTTCTATCTAGAAAACTCTAGACTCTTTTGCCATGAATCAGACTTGACGGCACAGTTCTTATTAAATATGAGACAGATTGACCCAGTAAAGGAAGCTACAGCCTCAGGTTTGCAAGGGCTGAGCAGGGTTGTTAATGATAGGATCTTTGGAAACAGACTTTATAGGATTATTGTAAGTCAGCAGTGACTTAATGACATCTAAGAACAATTGAAATTGAGCTAAACAGTAGCAAACGCTGTTAAAGAAGGATCTACGGCTACTACATTTGCTTTCACCAAGAAAGTTTGAAGATGGCATACTGCCAAGGACTCGGGTTAAACATACAGGAGTAGAAATGTGAGGGCTACCTACTGTCTTGAACACAGCATTCTAAAACCTGCTAGAGTGGCCTTATGCCATGACACAGGTCTTCACCTGCACTAGATATAATAAGGGGAATTCAGAGGTCAGATATGTCAGGGCAGGGAACTGTGCTCTGTTTGCTTCCTATGGAGTATCTTTGTAGCACAAGATAACATGGAGTTGTCTTAAATACTTATTTAGAGAACTGAGAGAGAATTAATTGCAATAGCAATACTTGGAAAATATATTTAGAATCAGCAAATGAAATTCTATATTATTTATTGTTTATTTCTTACATTTATATATGGTTCCATTATTATGATGTACTGTTCTAGGCAGTTTGCAGTGATAAAAACACAACAATCAAAATAAAAATACACAGAAAATTATATAATTTTAAAGGCTGTGTGCAGATTTCTGAGACTGTGAAGTCATGCTTTCTAACACACACATACTTTGGCTTTACAGCTTGTAGATCCTGGAGTCAAAGCATGGACCCCAACAAAAGGAAAACAGAACATCATTATGTTTGTTGGACTGCAGGGAAGTGGCAAAACAACTTCATGTTCCAAGGTAACTTACAATCTTCATAATGTTTAATGTGGCTCTGTCTTGTTTTGCAGGGCAAGGGTGTTTCAAGTGGCAGGTGGGGAACAGGGTGAGAGACTATTATGGAGGAAGCTCTGGCATATCATCAGAGGTTTCTGTTGGGTAACAAATTCTTCTCTAGTGCTATGTTCTTTATACCAATGTTTTATGAGACATAGCACAGGCAGTTAATACTATTATGCAAATTTAAATAATATCTATCAGTCATCATGGAAAACTATGAATATAACCATCATTTGAGTCTGTGGTCAGACTACAGATGTAGAGGAAGAAGCCAATAAAAGCTTTTATGCAAGTGTCCCAAAAGAAATTGATCACAGATGAAAACAGATCATGTTAATACTCATGGGTGACTACAATATAAATGTAGGAAATATGGAAGAAAATCCAATATACCATAAATTAGAAATATTCAGTTTACATTCCAATGCTAATGAAAGTTGATACCAAGATTTTTAGTAACTATAGAATCATCCCATTAATTTCTTATGTGAAGAACATGATAGTCAAGATTTACAGCGACGTGTACCAATATGGATGAAGAAATGCCAGCTGTTCAAGCTGGGTTTTAAAACGGAAGCAGTACTAGAGATATTTTGCAAATATACATCAGCTGCTGGAACATATCAAAAAATTTCAGGAGGAAATAAGCTACTGGACAAGAGACTAATGTTAAGTAAGAGTACAGTCAGCCAAAATGATTTTTAGTTAACGAATGTGACAGGATATGTCTTATTTTTCTGTTTGGACTAGATGCAGAACATATAGAAAACTGAATTAAATTGAGATGGAGGCAAAAATGTGGAAAAACATCACTAATTTAAGATGTACAGAAGATAACATGTTGCTGTTTTCTGTCAGTAATAACTGAAAATAACTACAGATGATATGTGAAGAAGGTGCAAAAGGAGGATTGTTGAATGTTAAGACAAAAGTAGCTATAGGATTACTGGAGTATTTTAATATTGACTGTAGAGAAATTGAAATACAGTAGTTTCTTTTACTATCATGGTTGAATCATCATTAGTTAGTACAGAGGCTTTAGCCAAGAAATCAAAGGAAGACTGAAACTGAGAAGGGCAGCAATGAAGGACTCAGTAGAAGAGACAGTAATGCTGGGGAAAGGTGACAGCAGTGGGGTGTGGGCAGGAAACCTAATATGAGCTAGAGATTGGGAGTTTGATTCTCCACTGTGTCACCTGGAAGGAGAGTACACACACACACGCATACGTACGTACGTGTGTGTATGTGGGGGGGGGATGCTGACTCTCCTTCCAGTGACACAGTGTATATCCAGAAGAAGGGAATGGTAAACCTAATCTGTTTGTTTTCTATCTAGAAAACTCTAGACTCTTTTGCCATGAATCAGACTTGACGGCACAGTTCTTATTAAATATGAGACAGATTGACCCAGTAAAGGAAGCTACAGCCTCAGGTTTGCAAGGGCTGAGCAGGGTTGTTAATGATAGGATCTTTGGAAACAGACTTTATAGGATTATTGTAAGTCAGCAGTGACTTAATGACATCTAAGAACAATTGAAATTGAGCTAAACAGTAGCAAACACAGCTAGTCTATAACTGTATACTAATTATTGTTTGTACTAGAAGCTGACAGATTTAAGGTACCAGGCAAATATTTCACTCTTTATGCTGATTACTGCAGAATAATGAAAAGATGTAATTTAAAAAAATAATCATAATCATATAGCATTGTGGATATATCTTGTTTATTTTTATTAACAGTTGGCATACTATTACCAGAGGAAAGGCTGGAAGACGTGTTTGATATGCGCAGATACTTACAGAGCAGGTGATACTTTATTTTTAGTTATTCTGTTTTCGTTAGATGTGCATATTTTATACTGCTAACAATTATTTGTACTACACAGGTGCCTTTGACCAGTTAAAACAAAATGCAACAAAAGCAAGAATTCCATTTTATGGCAGGTATGTATCATAATGTTCCATGTTAGTTGCTACATTCTGTGGTCATAGGTTTTGTCTCATGTTGGATGCCATTCATACAGCAGTGGAGTGCAGTGGAGGGGTTACCTCCCTTTCTGACTGCATCCCAGTCCAGAACCATCTCCAGAGGTATGTGAAACTTTTCTGGCTGCAAGAGATAGTAAAAGTTACTTGTGTGAAGATTATACTGGATTTAAGAAAACTCAGTAATAAAACTGGAATGAAGACAGGATTTTATTTTACTGTTGCCTTTGATAGTAAAAAGCTTCTCATGGCTCTAAAGAGAACCTTAATGTGAAGTTAGTGTTTGAAAGTTAGAGGGGAATTTGTCCAGTTTTCAATGGAACTCTTTGTAAGAATGCTATCACTGCTACCTGTGCTTGATTATATTCCTGCTCTCATCTACGATATACCCAGCTGTGAATCAGATTTTGTGAGCATAGTTGGCACAGTTAAGAATATATTGGTGTTCTTATTAGCCAAAGTCAAATCAACAAACTCCTGTTTTCCAAACTTAGCATTTTTCTGTAGAACAATTGCATTGCCATGCACTTTACCTGTTCTTCAAGGATTTCAAAACAGATTATTTTTTAAAAAAGGAGAATGATCAGATTAAATAAAAGCCATTAATCCAGTGCCAGTCACTGTAAATATTTATTTTTGCAAACTAAATAGAGTCATGGCTTGTCCCAGGACCTTGGGTAAAAAGTAAAACAAACTCTATGGAAAGCTGCATTTTGATTTATTATGTTGGCAAAATTAAAATTGGAAAAAAGAAGGGGAAACATTGTGCTTTTTAATAAATTTATTTCAGTGTGAGGTTTTGACTGTCAAAATCTTATTCTAACAGACACAAAGAATCTGAAACTTAATCTGCATTCCATGTAAAGCTTATTCCTTGGCCAGTCTATGAAACGTCAACAGAATAGCTTACAAAAATGTTAATGCAAGATAGAAAAACCAGACATAGGGGACTTTTAAAAAAATACAGAAGTCATAAAAGAAATGAGAAAGCACCCAGACAGTTTTGGATAGTCAGCCAAAACAAAATCATAATAGTTGATGCATACTGCTTCATAATCATAATTTCTGATTGTAATAGTCAGAATCTCTGATAGCAAGTTTTTGCTAAGTCCTCCTTGATTCTTCCTTTGTAATTCCTATTTTCTACAACAGTCAGTTCGAGAGTCATAACAAGTGTGCCTGGGAAGCTGAAGTTTTCTGAAAATGGTTTTCTATGTTGTCATTCCTGATATTAGAAAATGACTACATAAATAAATTTCAGTTTATCTCTAAGGGCCTAAATAAAAATCAAGGATTCTTAGCATATTATATTTATTAATTATCCAGATTTCTCTAATATATTGTGGGGAAAAATATTTTTCTCGTTCCATGCACACTTGACCTTTGCTCACACTGAAATAAATGTATGTTTTAAAATGTCAGCATATTTCAAGCTTTTTTGTCTTCTCCCACCCATATTACTTTTGCCAACATGCTGAAACAAATTAACACATTTCTTTGATTTATTAATTGGTGGGGAAAATACTTATGTATCCCCTTTCCTGATAGTGAGGAAAGTAGCAGGAAATCAGGAGCACTTACTCTTTAGATCCTGTTCCGTTTCTGTGGCATACAGAGTTTTCTTTTCTTTTGGTATATACAACAAAATGTGTATTCATCTGGGTTGTGAAAAATCTCACTAGTTACACTTGTCAGCATAATGCAATTGTTTCAGTCTTGGCAATGAGATGCTAGAAGTCAAGAAATTAGAGTAGGCATTTGTGACTTTGCTTGAGTTGCTTGGCTCCTGGCCTATAACTGACTTCTTAAGATGAGGCAGCTTGCCATGTAGATTTACACTAACTGCATTATGTTGGCCTCAAAACTTTGTAAAATATTGGCTGGTCTTTACATTGGCAAATAATATAAATGCAGAGGAGGGATGGGGTCTCCTCTCAATCATCCCAGAGTGCTGGACACGCAACAATAAGCTCTGGTACAGGAAGCCAGATTTCAGTTGAATATCAGGAAACACTTCCTAATTGTTAGAGCAGTACGACAGTTAAACCTTGAGATGTGGTCAGTGCTCCAACGTTGGAGGTATTCACCAGAAATTATCTGGCAGATAGCCTTTGATTTATATTCCTGCATCAAGCAGGGGGTTGGACTTGATGGCCTTATAGGCCCCTCCCAACTTCACGATTCTATGAATAATTGTAGGCTGAACTAGATGAGACTCCACAACTTGCTAATCAACTTGTTTTTGTTTGGTGACTTGGGCTTCATTTGCATGTGGAGTGTGCAAATACAGTTGCTTGGAAGAATGAGTCTTTAGAGGGATGGTATTTTATTACTTTTGACTTACCTAGTTCAAGGCTGTAAATGGGTTGAGAAACACATTACTGCAAACAAGAAAGCTAACAGAATGTTGTATTTGTAGACACTTATTGAAGGATAAGAACTGTGGTCAGTGTAATACTTGTGGAAGCTTCCAGCTGACACGAGGTACTTAGAGGCCATGGTTCCATAACTGAGAATCATGTAATGATGTAACCAAAGCAAGAGTGTCAGCACTATGCAGGCAGATTGCTGATATTATCATGGGCTGTTGGCCAGTTGGCAATTGTATAGTTGCAGGTTGGTTCCTGAGACCCTTCTGTTCTCTGGCAATCTGTGGGGAAAATGAACTCTCTGCTACTCTCCCCCTTCTCCCATCATTATTTGGCAGTCCCCGGAAGGGTTGGGAAAGCTCTGGAAACAAAATTCCAACTTGGGACAGTAGTCTCTTGGTGCCTGTCTTCCAGCTGTAGGCAAGGCTAAAGAGACCAAGATATATCAACGCATAATTTGTGGAATCAAATGGAGGTGGGTTTTCTTTTCTGATTTGTCCATTTCTCCATCAGATATACAAAGCAGAGCTCAATATTAGGGATAACTCTTTGTGAAAAGGCACAGTATTTCCTGGGCTGTAGAGAGAAAATTAGTTCCCTGGAACAGTTTCCTGGCTTATAAAATATCCCTTTATCCTTGGACATTGATTGAGATTATAGCAGAAAATTTGGGGGAGACTGACAGGCTGCATTTGGCCCAGCAATGTTAAGTGGTTCTTCTTCATGGTCTCTGTGAATGCACACTAATGGGTTAACTTGCGCCTACGCAGAGTGATCTCGGAACCTTTTAGAGCTCAGGCACATGGTGCCGGGACCTCCCCCACGCTGCCTATAACCCCGCTCCGGCACAGAGTGCCTCCGTTTCATTTCTGCCACCGCTGTAGCAGCATCTTGGAGCTTTCACGTAGCGTTCTTTCCTTTTCCTCATTCTACTGCTTCGACCTCCCAGTTTCTATGACTTTGGACTGTTGACGATTCATTTGGTTTGTGAATTTGGCAAAGAAAGCATATAACTGGCTTGTCTTTTTACTTGTCGTTGCGGACTTGTTTATGGCCTCGTCGGGCCCCTTTAAACGTTGCACCTCTTGTCTGAATAAAGTTTCCCTTTTGGACGAACATTCCCAGTGTTTATTTTGTCTAAGAGAGAGCACCAGCCAGCTTTGTGTGCTGTTTGTAAAGGATTTACCAAACCAGCTTTAAAAACGGAAGCTCTGGTGTTTCTGTTCATTTTTGTGGGAAAAAATTCTCTGCCCATCCCGAGAGCTGCTCGTGGAGCTGCCGCAATCTACTCTGGTCGAGACTTCATTGGCTGCAGCCTCTTCACCCAAACAGGCTAAAAAACTGGCAAAAGCGTCGTCTTTGGCCTCGAAGTCAACGGCCTCGACTTTGGTGCTGAAAAAGAAGAGGAAGTTGCCCCAGGAGCCATCAGGCACATCGCCTGTTGTCTTGTCATCTCTGCCACCTCAACCCCGACCGTGAAGAGACTCTTTGGGCCCAAGTGTGCCATCGGGAGATTAAGATATGTCAGGCTCCAGGCTGCCAGTCGCACCATCTCTGCGCCTGTCCCTTTCCCCAGATTAGACCTCTGTGGAGGTCCAGTTGGTGGTGCAAATTAGCCCTGGCTCTATACCAGTCTCGATGTTGAGACAGGTGTCTTCATCTTCATCTGCATCTCTAGCTGAGATGCCTAAGAAGAAGAGGCAGAAGACGAGGCACCTGGAGCCGTCACCCAAGCCTGAGAGATACCATCACCGGCACCTTTGGCCAGAGGACTTCCCCCCCTCGTCAAGACCATCCCAGATCTCACTGGGATGACTACAAGAATTTCCTTAAGCCCGAAGACTTTGGGTTCGGCCGGTGTCAATATCGGGCACTTTATGACCCTTCTACAGGTTTCGTCACTGGTCCCAATATTATGGCTCCTGTTCTCCTGCACCGTCACCTCCTTGATATCGATGGCATCCAGGTGCCTACTTCTACCTGGAGGGTGAGCCTGAACATGACCTTTTGCTGAGGGTTTGCACACCTGCAATAGACAAGCCCTCTCTTCCCGTCCCAACAACTTGGTCACACTCTGTGCCGCCGCCTACACAACACCCTCCTGCGGACCTGATTCCGGCTGCCCCTTCGCCTGGGATCGAATATGGCATTTTACCTGACTGCTCTACTTGGTTGGATGTTCCCTATCGAGAGCCTTGATCCTGAGCGCTTACTCCATCTCCGGGCCAGGAGGAGGCTTATATATCTGACTCGGAAGCTTCAGTTGATGAGTTAGATAAAGATTCTCCTTTTAATCTTCCCACACCAGGTGGCGGAGAGCCACCCACCTTCTCCCTCAGAGGATTACATGGCTTACTTGGACCTGATATGCAGGATTGCGAAAGCAATGGACCTGGCAGTAGATCAGCCTGTTGTAGAAGAGGTAGACAAAGTGAACAAGGACATTACAAAAGATCAGTCCCCTCCTCTTTGCATGGCATTTATTTCTTCTTTATTCAAGCTTGCTAAAGAACCTTGGGACAAGCCTTCTACCTCTTATCAGATACCCAGGAGGGTACAGAACTTGTACAAAATGCACGGCTCTAACAC